CAGAACAAGGAGATAACAACAGATATGGGGAGCCCCAATTTTGGCAGACGAGAAAATAAGCTGAGGGTGGAACACAAAGAGGGTGGACTGAGCATGCTCAGTGGCCACAGCATGCTAAGTACCCGCTGGAGAAGGGACAAAAATTTGGAGGAAGGGAAAGGAAGGGTGGTAGAATAAAGTATCCTAAAAAGGGGATGACTGGGTTGAATAATGACCAAGAGCACCCTGTACTGCTTTTGCACAGGAATAATCATGGCACAGGACTAATTTTCTTGGGCTATTTCTCTCTCTTTTCCCTTAAAAGAAAATATTCCACTATAAGCAGGACTTTCTTACAGTTTCTTATACTTTAACAATAATGTTTTTAAAAGCAGGATCATATTGGACTAGTGAATCTGCACCTCCTGACATAACATATGTTTGGCAGTCCTGTTGGCAGGTTGACCAGCATGAAATTAGATGCTTGTCTATCTTGGCAAAAACAAGCGGGGCCCTGAAACTCATCAGCCCTTTTCAGACTAGCCTAGGGTTAAGAAACAGACGCTCTTTCTCTAAAGTGTAGAACATGGTGCCAATGGTTGCAATCCTAATTTAATTCAAGGTTGCAGCCAGAAATGCTATATACAAACCTCTGCAGGGGAAGTAAGCCCTATTCGGTTCAGCATTCAGTGCATAGGACTGTGCTGCAAACAATGTGACTAATTTTAAAAGTTTATAAGCTACATATATTAGATGTTTTGTTGTTGTTTTTGTTATGTGCTATCAGGTTACCTCTGACTTATGGTGACCCTATGAATGAATGATCTCCAAAATGCCTTGTCCTCATCAGCCCTGCTCAGCTGTTAGATATCATTTTTATCTCATGTCTAATCTCAATTATGTTTTTAAAAATATGCAACAGGACAAGCAAAAAGGAAAGGATAAAGCATTCCAGGAGCATATTGCTAAAATCTTTGCAAATCACACAGATTTTTTTTCAATATATTAAAAGAAGAAACACATCAAGGAAGGTGTCAATATTATGCCAAGTCAAAGAGGCCCACACTAACCATTTAGTCACAATGCCTAGACTTTCCTGGTTTGAGTAAAATCTAGGAGGGCTAAATGTGCTGATGGCTGGGGAAAATCTTCCTACCCAGTACCTTCGAAACGCCATAGTCCATGCATTGCCATGCTCCATGTTTTTATTTTCTTCTATGCTTTTAATTGTATTTACTGTATAATAATTTTATCCTCACTTCACTTTATGATTTTTGATTTTCACCCCTAGGTATTAATGTCACAATTTGCTATTTTGTTACTCTGTTGTTGTTTTTATTTGTTGTAAACCACCCAGAGTGGCCTTGGCTGCCAGATGGGT